AGTGTGATGATAACAGGGAACACACATGGGTGCAATGCGGCAGAGTGTGATGATAACAGGGAACACACATGGGTGCAATGCGGAAGAGTGTGATGATAACAGGGAACACACATGGGTGCAATGCGGCAGAGTGTGATGATAACAGGGAACACACATGGGTGCAATGCGGCAGAGTGTGATGATAACAGGGAACACACATGGGTGCAATGCGGTAGAGTGTGATGATAACAGGGAACACACATGGGGCAATGCGGCAGAGTGTGATGATAACAGGGAACACACATGGGTGCAATGCGGCAGAGTGTGATGATAACAGGGAACACACATGGGTGCAATGCGGCAGAGTGTGATGATAACAGGGAACACACATGGGTGCAATGCGGCAGAGTGTGATGATAACAGGGAACACACATGGGTGCAATGCGGCAGAGTGTGATGATAACAGGGAACACACATGGGTGCAATGCGGCAGAGTGTGATGAGAACAGGGAACACACACGGGTGCAATGCGGCAGAGTGTGATGATAACAGGGAACACACATGGGTGCAATGCGGCAGAGTGTGATGATAACAGGGAACACACATGGGTGCAATGCGGCAGAGTGTGATGATAACAGGGAACACACATGGGTGCAATGCGGCAGAGTGTGATGATAACAGGGAACACACATGGGTGCAATGCGGCAGAGTGTGATGAGAACAGGGAACACACACGGGTGCAATGCGGCAGAGTGTGATGATAACAGGGAACACACACGGGTGCAATGCGGCAGAGTGTGATGATAACAGGGAACACACATGGGTGCAATGCGGCAGAGTGTGATGATAACAGGGAACACACATGGGTGCAATGCGGCAGAGTGTGATGATAACAGGGAACACACATGGGTGCAATGCGGCAGAGTGTGATGATAACAGGGAACACACATGGGTGCAATGCGGCAGAGTGTGATGATAACAGGGAACACACATGGGTGCAATGCGGCAGAGTGTGATGATAACAGGGAACACACATGGGTGCAATGCGGCAGAGTGTGATGATAACAGGGAACACACATGGGTGCAATGCGGAAGAGTGTGATGATAACAGGGAACACACATGGGTGCAATGCGGCAGAGTGTGATGATAACAGGGAACACACATGGGTGCAATGCGGCAGAGTGTGATGATAACAGGGAACACACATGGGTGCAATGCGGCAGAGTGTGATGATAACAGGGAACACACATGGGTGCAATGCGGCAGAGTGTGATGATAACAGGGAACACACATGGGTGCAATGCGGCAGAGTGTGATGATAACAGGGAACACACATGGGTGCAATGCGGCAGAGTGTGATGATAACAAGGAACACACATGGGTGCAATGCGGCAGAGTGTGATGATAACAGGGAACACACATGGGTGCAATGCGGAAGAGTGTGATGATAACAGGGAACACACATGGGTGCAATGCGGCAGAGTGTGATGATAACAGGGAACACACATGGGTGCAATGCGGAAGAGTGTGATGATAACAGGGAACACACATGGGTGCAATGCGGCAGAGTGTGATGATAACAGGGAACACACATGGGTGCAATGCGGCAGAGTGTGATGATAACAGGGAACACACATGGGTGCAATGCGGCAGAGTGTGATGATAACAGGGAACACACATGGGTGCAATGCGGCAGAGTGTGATGATAACAGGGAACACACATGGGTGCAATGCGGCAGAGTGTGATGATAACAGGGAACACACATGGGTGCAATGCGGCAGAGTGTGATGATAACAGGGAACACACATGGGTGCAATGCGGCAGAGTGTGATGATAACAGGGAACACACATGGGGCAATGCGGCAGAGTGTGATGATAACAGGGAACACACATGGGTGCAATGCGGCAGAGTGTGATGATAACAGGGAACACACATGGGTGCAATGCGGCAGAGTGTGATGATAACAGGGAACACACATGGGGCAATGCGGCAGAGTGTGATGATAACAGGAAACACACATGGGTGCAATGCGGCAGAGTGTGATGATAACAGGGAACACACATGGGTGCAATGCGGCAGAGTGTGATGATAACAGGGAACACACATGGGTGCAATGCGGCAGAGTGTGATGATAACAGGGAACACACATGGGTGCAATGCGGCAGAGTGTGATGATAACAGGGAACACACATGGGTGCAATGCGGCAGAGTGTGATGATAACAGGGAACACACATGGGTGCAATGCGGCAGAGTGTGATGATAACAGGGAACACACATGGGTGCAATGCGGCAGAGTGTGATGATAACAGGGAACACACATGGGTGCAATGCGGCAGAGTGTGATGATAACAGGGAACACACATGGGTGCAATGCGGCAGAGTGTGATGATAACAGGGAACACACATGGGTGCAATGCGGCAGAGTGTGATGATAACAGGGAACACACATGGGTGCAATGCGGCAGAGTGTGATGATAACAGGGAACACACATGGGTGCAATGCGGCAGAGTGTGATGATAACAGGGAACACACATGGGTGCAATGCGGCAGAGTGTGATGATAACAGGGAACACACATGGGTGCAATGCGGCAGAGTGTGATGATAACAGGGAACACACATGGGTGCAATGCGGCAGAGTGTGATGATAACAGGGAACACACATGGGTGCAATGCGGCAGAGTGTGATGATAACAGGGAACACACATGGGTGCAATGCGGCAGAGTGTGATGAGAACAGGGAACACACACGGGTGCAATGCGGCAGAGTGTGATGATAACAGGGAACACACATGGGTGCAATGCGGCAGAGTGTGATGATAACAGGGAACACACATGGGTGCAATGCGGCAGAGTGTGATGATAACAGGGAACACACATGGGTGCAATGCGGCAGAGTGTGATGATAACAGGGAACACACATGGGTGCAATGCGGCAGAGTGTGATGATAACAGGGAACACACATGGGTGCAATGCGGCAGAGTGTGATGATAACAGGGAACACACATGGGTGCAATGCGGCAGAGTGTGATGATAACAGGGAACACACATGGGTGCAATGCGGCAGAGTGTGATGAGAACAGGGAACACACACGGGTGCAATGCGGCAGAGTGTGATGATAACAGGGAACACACACGGGTGCAATGCGGCAGAGTGTGATGATAACAGGGAACACACATGGGTGCAATGCGGCAGAGTGTGATGATAACAGGGAACACACATGGGTGCAATGCGGCAGAGTGTGATGATAACAGGGAACACACATGGGTGCAATGCGGCAGAGTGTGATGATAACAGGGAACACACATGGGTGCAATGCGGAAGAGTGTGATGATAACAGGGAACACACATGGGTGCAATGCGGCAGAGTGTGATGATAACAGGGAACACACATGGGTGCAATGCGGAAGAGTGTGATGATAACAGGGAACACACATGGGTGCAATGCGGCAGAGTGTGATGATAACAGGGAACACACATGGGTGCAATGCGGCAGAGTGTGATGATAACAGGGAACACACATGGGTGCAATGCGGCAGAGTGTGATGATAACAGGGAACACACATGGGTGCAATGCGGCAGAGTGTGATGATAACAGGGAACACACATGGGTGCAATGCGGCAGAGTGTGATGATAACAGGGAACACACATGGGTGCAATGCGGCAGAGTGTGATGATAACAGGGAACACACATGGGTGCAATGCGGCAGAGTGTGATGATAACAGGGAACACACATGGGTGCAATGCGGCAGAGTGTGATGATAACAGGAAACACACATGGGTGCAATGCGGCAGAGTGTGATGATAACAGGGAACACACATGGGTGCAATGCGGCAGAGTGTGATGATAACAGGGAACACACATGGGTGCAATGCGGCAGAGTGTGATGATAACAGGGAACACACATGGGTGCAATGCGGCAGAGTGTGATGATAACAGGGAACACACATGGGTGCAATGCGGCAGAGTGTGATGATAACAGGGAACACACATGGGTGCAATGCGGCAGAGTGTGATGATAACAGGGAACACACATGGGTGCAATGCGGCAGAGTGTGATGATAACAGGGAACACACATGGGTGCAATGCGGCAGAGTGTGATGATAACAGGGAACACACATGGGTGCAATGCGGCAGAGTGTGATGATAACAGGGAACACACATGGGTGCAATGCGGCAGAGTGTGATGATAACAGGGAACACACATGGGTGCAATGCGGCAGAGTGTGATGATAACAGGGAACACACATGGGTGCAATGCGGCAGAGTGTGATGATAACAGGGAACACACATGGGTGTAATGCGGCAGAGTGTGATGATAACAGGGAACACACATGGGTGCAATGCGGCAGAGTGTGATGATAACAGGGAACACACATGGGTGCAATGCGGCAGAGTGTGATAATAACAGGGACAGGAACAGAGACTGCCTGAACATGGTGTGCAATCCGCAGGTGGCATCGCCTAATAACCGCTGAAGCTCCCTGCGGTGGAATCCGAAACAGAGAGGTGCAATGCGGTACAGAGCCGAAACAGGGATAGACACAGTGAACACCCAGACACATGGTGTGTATCCCACAGGTGGTTCCGCCCAGTAGCTGCTGCAGCTCCCTACCACATGAACACATGGGTGCAGTGCGGTACAGTGCGGCAACAGGGTTAGGAACAGTTGGCGCCGGCTGCTGCCTGCTGGGTTCACAGACACACTCTGAGGTGCTGTGCTGTGCCACTCCCTCACCGGAAGGGAGTGTTGGCAATGAAATCCACCCGCTTCTCTACTCCAAGAGACACCACCAGGCACCCTGGCAGCTTCACACACACTTGCTTCAACCCACGCACTCCCTCACCAGAAGGGAGTGTTGACAATGAAATCCACCCGCCTCACTATTCCAAGGGACACCGCCAGGCACCCCAGAAGCTCGATCCGCTTCTCGACCTCCCGGTGCCGGCTGCTGCCTACTGGGTTCACACACACACACACTCTGAGGTGCTGTGCTGTGCCCCACACTCACCGGAAGGGAGTGTTGGTAATGAAATCCACGCGCCTCTCAATGCCGAGAGACACAGCCAGGCATCCCAGCAGCTCAATCCGCTTCTCATCCTCCCGGTGCCGGCTGCTGTCCACCAGCTTCAGACGCACGCCAGCCATCGGATTGGGCTCCGATGGAGTGCTGGCCGTTGGATCGGGCTCCGATTGAGCGTCAGCCGTTGGATCGGATGGTGGTGCAGGCTTTATGGCCTGTGCAAAAGCCCGGAGCTGCAATGCATGGTTCTGGAAAAGGCATGGGGAGGGGGAAGGGGAGAATTAAGGGTCTCAACTCCACATAAAGACTCTTGTGGCACCTTAAAAGGGAAGAAGGAAGGACCTCAACTCAACTCCAAGAAAAAGAACCAGTTTTGAGACAGAAGCCTTGCAGGTGACTTTTGAGTCGACTCAAAAGTCAACTCCAAGAGAAAGAACCAGTTTTGCGGCAGAAGCCTTGCAGGTGACTTTTGAGTCGACTCAAAAGTCAACTCCAAGAGAAAGAACCAGTTTTGCGGCACATGCCTTGCACGTCCTTCCAGCAAAATTGTGAGCTAACGAGGCTCATTGGGGACAACAGCGAATAGGATGATCCTGTGAGCCGGGATCTTAAAGGTCTCCTAAAACATAACAGCACTTCCAATAATAATAGTAATAACAACAATAAAAAAGTGGGTCAAAATGCAATCAGTGTGATCCTGAATGCCACGTGCTTTGCAGTGAATGTTCTTTGCCTGCTGCATTAGATGGTATACAATGCACTACACGGTTGTTTCAAATTGTAGACTGCACAATATTCCTTTGTGTGAATGCACTACAGCTTGTATTTATGTAATGGAAGGAAATGCACCTCTCGATTTTTTAAAAACTTTGTAGCGCACCATGGCTTGTGTTAGAAGATAATTTGTACTTAGTTAGGGCTGTGTACCTTTTCTGGTCGGAACTGGGCAACGGAGATGATGTATTTTGACGCGGGGCGAGAGAGAGGAAGAGAGAGAGTGGGTGCGACGCAGCAAGGCACAGGGATGATCGCGTGAGATGTACACACAGAAAGTCTGCACCGTACAGGAATGAGAGTGTGATGGTGCAAGAGCTCTGTACCTTTTCTGGTCGGAACTGGGCAACGGAGATGATGTATTTTGACGCGGGACGGGAGAGAGGAAGAGAGAGAGAGTGTGTGTGACGCAGCAAGGCACAGGGACAAGAGTGTGAGATGCGCACGCAAGAGCTCTGTACCTTCTCTGGTCGAAACTGGGCAACGGAGATGATGTATTTCGAGGCGGGGCGAGAGAGAGGGAGGGCCTGGCAGGGAAGGAGGCACGACGGGGAGGAAGGAGGGAAGGTCGGAGGGATGGAGGAGGATGAATGTGTTTAGGACGGGAGGAGGGAATGCATCTTCACTGGTCGTAACTGGGCAACGGAGATGATGTAGTTTGACGTGGGGCGAGAGAGAGGAAGAGCCTGGAAGGGTGGGAGGACACGAGGGCAGGGGCAGGGGCACGGCCCGGGGCATGGGGCAGGGGCAAAAGCGTTTGAGTGGACTCAAGAAACAAAGCAGGAATGCCCTGTGCGGTCTAGAAGCGGTCTACCCACTCGCAGAGAGACCTTTGAGTCGACTCAAACGAGGTGAGTTTGATTCGACTCAAAAGTCAAGCGTTTGAGTGGACTCAAGAAACAAAGCAGGAATGCCCTGAACGGTCTAGAAGCAGTCTACCCACTCGCAGATTGGCAGTGGCAGTGTCGCAACCCCAACAGTGTCACAGGGGGGTTAGGGTGGGATAGGTACCGCTGGGGGGTTCTCAAAAGTCACTCCAATATAGCTGGGGGGTCGATTTTTGAGTCGACTCAAAAATCGACTCACTACACGCAAAAGTCACTCCAATATAGCTGGGGGGTTAGGGTAGGATAGGTACCGCGGGGCACATCAGTTTGGCAGTTGTCTTGTGTCTCAGATTCACAACCCACGCGAGTCTGGCGGGGCACAGCAGTTTGGCAGTTGTCTTGTGTCTCAGATTCACAACCCACGCGAGTCTGGCGGGGCACAGCAGTTTGGCAGTTGTCTTGTGTCTCAGATTCACAACCCACGCGAGTCTGGCGGGGCACAGCAGTTTGGCAGTTGTCTTGTGTCTCAGATTCACAACCCACGCGAGTCTGGCGGGGCACAGCAGTTTGGCAGTTGTCTTGTGTCTCAGATTCACAACCCACGCGAGTCTGGCGGGGCACAGCAGTTTGGCAGTTGTCTTGTGTCTCAGATTCACAACCCACGCGAGTCTGGCGGGGCACAGCAGTTTGGCAGTTGTCTTGTGTCTCAGATTCACAACCCACGCGAGTCTGGCGGGGCACAGCAGTTTGGCAGTTGTCTTGTGTCTCAGATTCACAACCCACGCGAGTCTGGCGGGGCACAGCAGTTTGGCAGTTGTCTTGTGTCTCAGATTCACAACCCACGCGAGTCTGGCGGGGCACAGCAGTTTGGCAGTTGTCTTGTGTCTCAGATTCACAACCCACGCGAGTCTGGCGGGGCACAGCAGTTTGGCAGTTGTCTTGTGTCTCAGATTCACAACCCACGCGAGTCTGGCGGGGCACAGCAGTTTGGCAGTTGTCTTGTGTCTCAGATTCACAACCCACGCGAGTCTGGCGGGGCACAGCAGTTTGGCAGTTGTCTTGTGTCTCAGATTCACAACCCACGCGAGTCTGGCGGGGCACAGCAGTTTGGCAGTTGTCTTGTGTCTCAGATTCACAACCCACGCGAGTCTGGCGGGGCACAGCAGTTTGGCAGTTGTCTTGTGTCTCAGATTCACAACCCACGCGAGTCTGGCGGGGCACAGCAGTTTGGCAGTTGTCTTGTGTCTCAGATTCACAACCCACGCGAGTCTGGCGGGGCACAGCAGTTTGGCAGTTGTCTTGTGTCTCAGATTCACAACCCACGCGAGTCTGGCGGGGCACAGCAGTTTGGCAGTTGTCTTGTGTCTCAGATTCACAACCCACGCGAGTCTGGTGGGGCACAGCAGTTTGGCAGTTGTCTTGTGTCTCAGATTCACAACCCACGCGAGTCTGGCGGGGCACAGCAGTTTGGCAGTTGTCTTGTGTCTCAGATTCACAACCCACGCGAGTCTGGCGGGGCACAGCAGTTTGGCAGTTGTCTTGTGTCTCAGATTCACAACCCACGCGAGTCTGGCGGGGCACAGCAGTTTGGCAGTTGTCTTGTGTCTCAGATTCACAACCCACGCGAGTCTGGCGGGGCACATCAGTTTGGCAGTTGTCTTGTGTCTCAGATTCACAACCCACGCGAGTCTGGCGGGGCACAGCAGTTTGGCAGTTGTCTTGTGTCTCAGATTCACAACCCACGCGAGTCTGGCGGGGCACATCAGTTTGGCAGTTGTCTTGTGTCTCAGATTCACAACCCACGCGAGTCTGGCGGGGCACAGCAGTTTGGCAGTTGTCTTGTGTCTCAGATTCACAACCCACGCGAGTCTGGCGGGGCACAGCAGTTTGGCAGTTGTCTTGTGTCTCAGATTCACAACCCACGCGAGTCTGGCGGGGCACAGCAGTTTGGCAGTTGTCTTGTGTCTCAGATTCACAACCCACGCGAGTCTGGCGGGGCACAGCAGTTTGGCAGTTGTCTTGTGTCTCAGATTCACAACCCACGCGAGTCTGGTGGGGCACAGCAGTTTGGCAGTTGTCTTGTGTCTCAGATTCACAACCCACGCGAGTCTGGCGGGGCACAGCAGTTTGGCAGTTGTCTTGTGTCTCAGATTCACAACCCACGCGAGTCTGGCGGGGCACAGCAGTTTGGCAGTTGTCTTGTGTCTCAGATTCACAACCCACGCGAGTCTGGCGGGGCACAGCAGTTTGGCAGTTGTCTTGTGTCTCAGATTCACAACCCACGCGAGTCTGGCGGGGCACATCAGTTTGGCAGTTGTCTTGTGTCTCAGATTCACAACCCACGCGAGTCTGGCGGGGCACAGCAGTTTGGCAGTTGTCTTGTGTCTCAGATTCACAACCCACGCGAGTCTGGCGGGGCACATCAGTTTGGCAGTTGTCTTGTGTCTCAGATTCACAACCCACGCGAGTCTGGCGGGGCACAGCAGTTTGGCAGTTGTCTTGTGTCTCAGATTCACAACCCACGCGAGTCTGGCGGGGCACAGCAGTTTGGCAGTTGTCTTGTGTCTCAGATTCACAACCCACGCGAGTCTGGCGGGGCACATCAGTTTGGCAGTTGTCTTGTGTCTCAGATTCACAACCCACGCGAGTCTGGCGGGGCACAGCAGTTTGGCAGTTGTCTTGTGTCTCAGATTCACAACCCACGCGAGTCTGGCGGGGCACATCAGTTTGGCAGTTGTCTTGTGTCTCAGATCCACAACCCACGCGAGTCTGGCGGGGCACAGCAGTTTGGCAGTTGTCTTGTGTCTCAGATTCACAACCCACGCGAGTCTGGCGGGGCACAGCAGTTTGGCAGTTGTCTTGTGTCTCAGATTCACAACCCACGCGAGTCTGGCGGGGCACAGCAGTTTGGCAGTTGTCTTGTGTCTCAGATTCACAACCCACGCGAGTCTGGCGGGGCACAGCAGTTTGGCAGTTGTCTTGTGTCTCAGATTCACAACCCACGCGAGTCTGGCGGGGCACAGCAGTTTGGCAGTTGTCTTGTGTCTCAGATTCACAACCCACGCGAGTCTGGCGGGGCACAGCAGTTTGGCAGTTGTCTTGTGTCTCAGATTCACAACCCACGCGAGTCTGGCGGGGCACAGCAGTTTGGCAGTTGTCTTGTGTCTCAGATTCACAACCCACGCGAGTCTGGCGGGGCACAGCAGTTTGGCAGTTGTCTTGTGTCTCAGATTCACAACCCACGCGAGTCTGGCGGGGCACAGCAGTTTGGCAGTTGTCTTGTGTCTCAGATTCACAACCCACGCGAGTCTGGCGGGGCACAGCAGTTTGGCAGTTGTCTTGTGTCTCAGATTCACAACCCACGCGAGTCTGGCAGGGCACAGCAGTTTGGCAGTTGTCTTGTGTCTCAGATTCACAACCCACGCGAGTCTGGCGGGGCACAGCAGTTTGGCAGTTGTCTTGTGTCTCAGATTCACAACCCACGCGAGTCTGGCGGGGCACAGCAGTTTGGCAGTTGTCTTGTGTCTCAGATTCACAACCCACGCGAGTCTGGCGGGGCACAGCAGTTTGGCAGTTGTCTTGTGTCTCAGATTCACAACCCACGCGAGTCTGGCGGGGCACAGCAGTTTGGCAGTTGTCTTGTGTCTCAGATTCACAACCCACGCGAGTCTGGCGGGGCACAGCAGTTTGGCAGTTGTCTTGTGTCTCAGATTCACAACCCACGCGAGTCTGGCGGGGCACAGCAGTTTGGCAGTTGTCTTGTGTCTCAGATTCACAACCCACGCGAGTCTGGCGGGGCACAGCAGTTTGGCAGTTGTCTTGTGTCTCAGATTCACAACCCACGCGAGTCTGGCGGGGCACAGCAGTTTGGCAGTTGTCTTGTGTCTCAGATTCACAACCCACGCGAGTCTGGCGGGGCACAGCAGTTTGGCAGTTGTCTTGTGTCTCAGATTCACAACCCACGCGAGTCTGGCAGGGCACAGCAGTTTGGCAGTTGTCTTGTGTCTCAGATTCACAACCCACGCGAGTCTGGCGGGGCACAGCAGTTTGGCAGTTGTCTTGTGTCTCAGATTCACAACCCACGCGAGTCTGGCGGGGCACAGCAGTTTGGCAGTTGTCTTGTGTCTCAGATTCACAACCCACGCGAGTCTGGCGGGGCACAGCAGTTTGGCAGTTGTCTTGTGTCTCAGATTCACAAACCACGCGAGTCTGGCGGGGCACAGCAGTTTGGCAGTTGTCTTGTGTCTCAGATTCACAACCCACGCGAGTCTGGCGGGGCACAGCAGTTTGGCAGTTGTCTTGTGTCTCAGATTCGCCACGCACACAGCAGCACAACACATCAGTACTCAGTGCTCACAGCAAGGCACTTTTGAGGCGCCTCAAAAGCATACAGCAGCACAACACATCAGTGCTCAGTGCTCACAGCAAGGCACTTTTGAGGCGCCTCAAAAGCATACAGCAGCACAACACATCAGTGCTCAGTGCTCACAGCAAGGCACTTTTGAGTCGCCTCAAAAGCATACAGCAGCACAACACATCAGTGCTCAGTGCTCACAGCAAGGCACTTTTGAGGCGCCTCAAAAGCATACAGCAGCACAACACATCAGTGCTCAGTGCTCACAGCAAGGCACTTTCCGGGTTGAAGTTCCAACCACAGGATCAGCTGGAGAGCAACGTGATAAAAGTGTATTTTATCCAGGTGATCCAGTGATCACCAGGATCACCACAGGATCACCACAGGATCACCTAGAGAGACGTCTCATAACCACACTTGTATAAACCCAGCGCACAGAGCTCGGCTTGTTGCGCGTCCAGATTCGCTGAACCTACAGCACATCAGTGCTCCTGGTGCTCCCAGGTCTACTCTCTCCAATACCACCAACTGACCTGGAGAGCAGCGGTGTCGCAGGGGAAATACACGCGGTGCACGGAGCTCGGCTTGTTGCGCGTCCAGATTCGTCAAGTATACAACATGTTGTTGCTCTCCCAGGTTGGTTCGGTATAGTATAGTACCAGAGTTCGTGCAGTATCTACCTGAAGAGCCGCGGTGTCGCGGGGAGGATAAACCCTGTGCACGGAGCTCGGCTTGTTCCGTTTCCAGATTCGACGAATGTGTGGAGCACATCAGTGCTCCTGGTGCTCCCAGGTCTACTCTCTCCAATACCACCAACTGACCTGGAGAGCAGCGGTGTCGCAGGGGAAATACACGCGGTGCACGGAGCTCGGCTTGTTGCGCGTCCAGATTCGTCAAGTATACAACATGTTGTTGCTCTCCCAGGTTGGTTCGGTATAGTATAGTACCAGAGTTCGTGCAGTATCTACCTGAAGAGCCGCGGTGTCGCGGGGAGGGTAAACCCGGTGCACGGAGCTCGGCTTGTTCCGTTTCCAGATTCGCCGAATGTGTGCAGCACATCGGTGCTCCTGGTGCTCCCAGGTCCTACTCTCACCAATCCTTCAACTCACCTGGAGAGCAGCGGTTTCGCATGGGGGGGGTACACCCGGTGCACGGAGCTCGGCTTGCTGCGCGTCCGGATTCGCCGAATGTGCAACACATTGGTACACCCGGTAACACTGCCTGCGAATACAATCAACACTCACCTGGAGAGCAGTGGTGTCGCAGGGAGGATAAACCCGGTGCACGGAGCTCGGCTTGCTGCGCATCCAGATTCACCGAATGTGTGCAGCACATTGGTACGCCAAGTATTATGGAGAATAGAGCCAACACTCACCTGGCGACATGATAAAAGTGTTATTTTGAGACGTCTCAAAATAACACTTTAATAAGGTGGGCTGCACATTGGTAAGCCAATTATTATGGGGAATAGAGCCAACACTCACCTGGCGAGCGGTGGTGTCGCAAGGGGGGTACCCGGTGCACGGAGCTCGGCTTGTTGCGCGTCCAGATTCGCCGAATCGACAGCACATTGGTAGAGCCAGTAATACTGCAAGAATAATTAACACTCACCTGGAGAGCAGCGGTGTCACAAGGAGGGTACACCCGGTGCACGGAGCTCGGCTTGTTGCGCGTCCAGATTTGCCGAATGTGGCCCTCGGTCCAGGAGGAGTTGACCATGGTGACGTCAGCATGCCCGCCCGCCCACCCGTATAGAAATGCGAAGAAACGGTAATATAAGAGCTTGGACGAGGAAAGGATGGAGCTGGGATGGGGCGAGATGGCAGTGGAAAGGAAGACAGTTGGACAACATGTTGAGTGTGTGTGGCCAGCCCCTCGGTCCAGGACGAGTTCACTATGGTGACGTCAGAATGCCCGCCCCGCCCACCCATATAGATATGCGAAGAAACGGTAATATAAGAGCTTGGACGAGGAAAGGATGGAGCTGGGATGGGGAGAAAGGGCAGTGGAAAGGAAGACAGTTGGACAACATGTTGAGTGTGTGTGGCCCGCCCCTCGGTCCAGGACGAGTTGACCATGGTGACGTCAGCGTGCCCACCCACCCATGGAAGTGAGGAGGGCGTTGGTATTGGGGAGAGGTAGTGGAAAGGAAGACAGTTGGACAGCATGTTGAGTGTGTGCGGCGCTCCCCTCGGTCCAGGACGAGTTGACCATGGTGACGTCAGCGTGCCCGCCCGTCCACCCGTATAGATAAGCGAAGAAACGGTAATATAAGAGCTTGGACGAGGAAAGGATGGAGCTGGGATGGGGCGAGATGGCAGTGGAAAGGAAGACAGTTGGACAACATGTTGAGTGTGTGTGGCCAGCCCCTCGGTCCAGGACGAGTTCACTATGGTGACGTCAGAATGCCCGCCCCGCCCACCCATATAGATATGCGAAGAAACGGTAATATAAGAGCTTGGACGAGGAAAGGATGGAGCTGGGATGGGGAGAAAGGGCAGTGGAAAGGAAGACAGTTGGACAACATGTTGAGTGTGTGTGGCCCGCCCCTCGGTCCAGGACGAGTTGACCATGGTGACGTCAGCGTGCCCACCCACCCATGGAAGTGAGGAGGGCGTTGGTATTGGGGAGAGGTAGTGGAAAGGAAGACAGTTGGACACCATTTTGAGTGTGTGCGGCGCTCCCCTCGGTCCAGGACGAGTTGACCATGGTGACGTCAGCGTGCCCGCCCGTCCACCCGTATAGATAAGCGAAGAAACGGTAATATAAGAGCTTGGAGGAGGAAAGGATGGAGCTGGGATGGGGCGAGAGGGAGTGGAAAGGAAGACACGAGATAGCAGGTTGAGTGTGTTGGCGCTCCCCTCGGTCCAGGAGGGGTAGTTGACCATGGTGACGTCAGCATGCCCGGCCGCCCACCCGTGTGGGTAAGCGAGTGCGCTGCTGCACTCTCTGGAGCATGCCATGTCTCTCCACTGATCGTTGGGAGGTGCGTGTGACACCTCAATACCCACCACCAGTAGTCGTACCTTCTTGCAATCACCTGCTGCTCACTGGAATTATGTCAGAGGATCACCTGTCGTTGTTATACATGCTAGTGCGCTGCTGCGCTCTCTGCAGCATGTCTCCATTGATCGTTGGGAGGTGTGACAACTCAATACCCAGCAGTAAAAGTACCTTATATTGCACTCACCTGTCCTCCCCTTCTTGCATTGCTCCCACCTGTTGGCAACAGTGTCATCGTTGTTATACATGCTAGTGCGCTGCTGCACCCTCTGCAACATGTCCCTCTCCCCTTCCCCTTTTTCCTTCCCCTTCTGTGCCGTGCTCTCACCTGTTGGCAACAGTGGCATCGTTGTTATACATGCTAGTGCGCTGCTGCACTCTCTGCAGCATGTCTCCACTGATCGTTGGGTAGTGCGTATAGCACACCACTAAACTCCCTCCCCCCTTCCCTCCCCCTCCTCCTGCTGCTGCTCGTCCCCTTAACAGCAGCCTCACTACAGGATAGGAGAAGGCGTATCCGGCAGTATCCACGAAAACTGCGGGCGGGCGGCGGAGAACGGCTTCTAGTGCGAGAGCCATGGAGCCCAGCGATTGGCCGATGAGTGTGAAGCGCGGATAGAGAGAGGCCTCTACTAGATGGCGGTAGGACAGACGCACGACCTTTAGGGGGAAAGGGCAAGCGGAGGTGGGGGAATGGGGGAAAGAGTTGAAGTGATTGGGAGAGGAGAGTGAAGCGCGGGTAGAGGGAAGCTTCCACTAGATGGCGGTAGGACAGACGCACGACCTTTAGGGGGAAAGGGCAAGCGGAGGTGGGGGAATGGGGGAAAGAGTTGAAGTGATTGGGAGAGGAGAGTGAAGCGCGGGTAGAGGGAAGCTTCCACTAGATGGCGGTAGGACAGACGCACGACCTTTAGGGGGAAAGGGCAAGCGGAGGTGGGGGAATGGGGGAAAGAGTTGAAGTGATTGGGAGAGGAGAGTGAAGCGCGGGTAGAGGGAAGCTTCCACTAGATGGCGGTAGGACAGACGGACGACCGTTTGAGGGGAGGAGAAAGGGGGGGAATGGGAATGGGTAGAGCACAGGAGACACGGGGATGGGGGGGAGCAGAAAGTGAAGGCTCGAATCAGTGCGAGGCGCCTTGAGAGCCATGGAGACCAGTGATTGGCCGAGTAGGGTGAAGCGCGGGTAGAGGGAAGCTTCCACCAGATGGCGGTAAGATAGACGCACGACCTTTAGGGGGAAAGGGCAAGCGGAGGTGGGGGAATGGGGGAAAGAGTTGAAGTGATTGGGAGAGGAGGAAGAACGGGTAGAGGGAAGCTTCTAGTAGATGGCTGTAGGACAGACGGACGACCTCGGTTTATAGTGGGGCAATGGAGTGGAAGAGGGGGAAGGGGGAAGGGATCGTGGGAGAGGGAGTGAGAGTGATTGGCCGAGGAGGGTGAAGCGTAGGTACTGTGAGGCTTCTAGTAAATGGAGGTAGGATAGGCGGACGACCTTGGTTTGTAACGGGGACAAGGGAAGAGAAGCACGGGGATCGTGGGAGAGGGAGGAGGAGCAATTGGCCGAGGAGGAGAGTGAAGCGCGGGTACAGGGAGGCTTTTACTAGATGGCGGGTTGATAGGCGGACGACCTGGTTTTGTCACGGGGCACAGGGAAGAAAAGGGTGGGAAGGGACTGTGGCAGTGGGAGTGATTGCGCGAGGAGAGTGAAGCGCGGGTACAGGGAGGCTTTAACCACTCGAACGTGGTAACCGCTCGAACGTGGTAACCTCGAACGTGGTAACCACTCGAACGTGGTAACCTCGAACGTGGTAACCACTCGAACGTGGTAACCTCGAACGTGGTAACCACTCGAACGTGGTAGCCACATAACACAACACGTTTCCTTCCACTGGCTGGAGCACTCAAACGTGGCAACCCAGAGTGGTAACCCACCAAGCGTGGCAACCCCAAGTGGTAAACCACCAAGCGTGGTAACCCAGGGTGGTAACCGCATGACACAACACGTTACCTCCACTG